AATCATTCTCCACAGTTAAGGAACTGATCGCTAAAGCAACAATGCTCGCACATCAGGACTCCGAAGCACCCATTAGTATCGCAGTAGACGCATCCGACTCGGCAATCGGAGGAGTCTTACAACAAAGGGTTAACAACTCCTGGCAACCCTTGGCATTTTTCTCTAGAAGGTTGCTAGACACCGAATCGAGGTACAGCACATTCGGTTGGGAACTCCTAGCTATGTATTGTGCTGTACGGCATTTCCAACACTACATCGAAGGTCGTGAATTCACTCTTTTCACCGACCATAAACCTCTCACTCTCTCGTTAAGCTCTCCTTCTGACAAGTACTCTCCCCGTGAGTCTCGACAACTGGACTACATTTCGCAGTTTACTTCAGACATTCAACACATCTCTGGAGCAAACAATGTAGTTGCAGACGCTTTATCTCGTATAACTTCCTTGAACAGTTTCCAAGGAATCGACCTTCTTAAACTCGCCGAGCTTCGAAAAGAAGACAGTGATCTTCAGCACGAGTTATCGTCCACAACCCTCAAGTTACGTATCAAGCAGATGGGAACAGGTAAGGAAACCTTACTGTGTGACACATCTACAGGTAGGGATCGCCCAATCGTGCCGAAACATTATCGACGCAACGTCTTCAATACATTGCACAAACTTTCTCATCCAGGTGTTCGTGCAACCATCAAGCTTATGGCAGAACGGTTTTGCTGGCCTGGAATGAATAAAGACGTAAGGGAGTGGGCACGCTCCTGTGTAAGCTGCCAAAAATCTAAGGTCATCAGACACAATAAATGTCCCTTAGGCTCATTTAAAACTCCCGATGCTCGTTTCGACCATGTTCATCTGGATTTGGTAGGACCTTTACCAGATTCAAATGGATACTCTTATCTTTTAACCTGCGTAGACCGTTTCACTCGATGGCCAGAAGCAGTACCTATCAAGGACATCACTGCTGAAACAGTGGATCGCGCCTTCGTCGAACGATGGGTAGCAAACTTCAGCTGTCCTTCAACCATCACTACAGATCGCGGACGTCAGTTTGAATCTGAACTTTTCCGTCGTCTGACCACACTGAGATTAGATGGTGGTTGGAGGTAGTCAACAGGAAACCCTGGACCCGGGTTTCGTGCTACTTGGCACTCGTCAGCAAGGTGTACCTGTAATCTTGAGGGAACTGGTGCTCCCTGGCGGATTCGATCTCGTGTCACCCAGCTTCACAGTCAGAGACGTTACCACTGAGCTATCCGAGCCGTGACTAACCTCCTGTAGGACTGAGATGTAATCACAATTGATTGATCACTGGGTGGTGATCAATCTCATGCTTGTCTAGTCCTTATTAGTGTAGATCGAATGCTATCGATCATGTTGCAATGTGGCCACCAGTCTAGGTGACTCGACACTTTTAGGAACCACTCGCTTCCGAACGACTGTCTACCACACACAAGCAAACGGGTTGGTAGAACGTTTTCACCGACAACTAAAAGCTTCACTATCAGCTGCAAACGTTTCACAGTGGACTTACGCTCTTCCACTCGTCTTACTAGGTATCCGCAATGCAGTGAAAGCTGACATTGGACACACTGCGGCTCAACTCGTTTATGGAACGACACTTCGACTTCCAGGAGAATTCGTGGATCCTTCATCCTCTTCAATGAACATGGATCTAACCTCCTACACGAACAGGCTTACAAACGCAATGCGTTCAGTTAAACCTGCTTCCACTCGACCTCAATCAGCTGATGTTTTCGTTCAACCTGACTTACGATATAGTACACATGTTTTCGTTCGTCAAGACTCGCATCGACGACCATTTGAATCAGCATACGAAGGACCCTTCAAAGTTCTTCAACGTGAATCTATGTACTATATAGTCGATAAGAACGGAACCAACGATAGCATCAGCATCGATCGCTTGAAAGCAGCGTATTTAGGAGGAAATCCTATTCACGTCGACTTTCCTTCGTTACAATCGAACGACACGACTCCTACACTCATAATTCCTTAACCGACAACCAACACTAGCGATGATACTCCCTATGTATCTGTAAATAAACCTAAAACGACGCGTTCTGGAAGAAGAGTAAGATTTCCAGAACATTTAAACGACTACTGCACGTAAGGCACTACTCGACATTTTATATTATCTCGATCTTTCTTTTTACGATACATAATTTTCTTTAAAAAAGACAGTTTTAATATGCTTATATATTTATATTTTTATAAAAAAACAAAACATAAAAAAACATTTTTTTAACGCTATTACGTGTGCTTGAGTATATTTTCCATTTTTTCGTCGACATTGTGTTTTTACGCACATACGAGTGTATTTCGACATGCACTTACACTTTCTTTTTTCTTTTCCAGGACGGCTGGAAAAGAACGATGCAGTTTACGAGGAGTTGAAATTTTTGTTGTAACTTTTTCTTTTCTTTACTATTTTGTACCTCGGTCCCAAATAGTAAGGAAAGACGACCACACACTGCTACACTTGGTAAGCTATCAGAAGAGTGTTTACCAACGACAAACTCGTTGGGTTTAAACTTCTGGCTGGCCACGTCTTAGGGTCGTCACTGCCCCACCAGGGGGGGAGTGATCTGTAGCGGTAAATAAATCCCCAAAATAAATAGCTCTAAGTTTTCGACATTGGATGCTGACCATATGTTTTAGTGGACTCATCTAGCTGAAGGCGCTCGGTCATGCATCCGCACCAGATCACGTGTGGTAACGCCTTGCTCAACATCTACCTCAATCGCCAGCCAGATTAGATCAGAGAATTCCGACATATTGGTAATCGCCAAATGTACTCTTCCGATCTCCTCGACTCTGTCTTTTGATTTCTCTGTGTGGGAACGAAATACATTAGAAGGTGTTACTGGTAGAAGCGTTGTCAAACACTGAATACCTGTGACATCATCAGCCAGTTTAGATCCGTCGATGATCGATATATTGATAACCTATAAAATACACCTTCGAACCTCGCCACCTCTGACTTTTGATCTCACTGGGTGGGCACGATTCAATTATAGGTTTTGCTGGTTGAAGTTTTGCCGAAATAAATGCTTGTGGCATCTTCAACTACAGTGAACAATGAAGCAATCAATTAATCTTCTTAAAACATGAAAACATGTCAAACACGATCTGAAACAATTCAAGAGTTCTATGTCGTTTTTTACTTCAGACGATGAGGCTTTTACAATGTATATCAGTGTATTACTATCGTGGTTACTAGTTAATCAAGGTACTCAAATATACATTTAAGAAAATTGGCATTTCAGCGTTTGGCCCATCCACTAGTCATGACTCATCGAGTTAGAGATAATGAAAATAATAGTGCCATTATTAGGTTGTGTGAAGAGTGTATTTGATTCAGGTGCAATTATTGTTGTATAGAATAAGAAATGATGATCGTTATTCAAAATGTGCTTTGGGGTTTCGCTTGAAAATAACATTTAAATTCACTAAATGTTTAGACTGTTGCTGATGGTTCTGACACTACTAATTATAATGAAAATCGAACAGTAGAAGTATTTGGCTCAAAAAGCCTCAAAAGATACTATAGATATTTGGAGTTTCACGACGCTTATGTCCGTAACGCCTGTATAATTAAAGGATACCAACGCAGGCGAAACCGAAGTCGGGAATGAGTTCAAAGATATATTTGGAAGATTGTCGATATGCTGAGAAACGTTTGATCTGAGCTGGCCAGTAGTTGCAAAAGTAGCGTAGGATGACGAGCCTATTGTCTCGTTTTTTCGTGTTATACAACAATTTGATTGTATCCCAATTTTTTTAACACCCTCTTTTCAAAATAAAAATTCTTTTTTCTTATATGTTAGAATATGTGTGAATATTAATTTTTAAGTTCAAAAGAGAAATCTTTCTGAGCAAAACTTTTTCACCTTGTAACATCGTACGTGTTCGCATGTTTATCAGGTATTTTCTTCGCGTGTCTTACATCCTTACAGTAGCATGAGTGAGTCTTAATAAGCACTTGAACTTCCATTCTTTTTATTTACCAGGGTGACGACAATGATTGGAAGTTCTAATTGTATGTCTTAAATTGTTGTCTGGCAACGCATGGCTCCTCATATTAAGGGAAGACCATCAGATGTGATGGAACAACAACAGTGTTTACCAGCGGCAAGCCCATTAGGTTTAGACTTCTTACTGACCAGGCCTTAAGGCTATCACTACCCAAATATATTGGGGGAAAATCAGTTGTAATAACTGATAAATCCCCAAAATAACGAGTTATATGAGTCCTTCAAGTTGATGCTGACCTCATGAATTTTACCGGAGACGTCCAGTAAAAGTGCTAGATCACGTTTCCGAGCGAGATCACGTGTGGGCACGCCTAGCTACGTTTCCTTTGCAACTACTGGCCAGCTCAGATCAAACGTCTATCAATATATCGACAATCTTCCAAATATATCTTTGAACTCATTTCCGACTTCGGTTTGCCTGCGTTGGTATCTATCCTTTAATTATACAGGTGCTACGGAATTAAGCGTTGTAAAACCGTAAATGTCTGTGACAATTTCAAAACTTTCTAGAGGGTCATTTTCTTAGCTCTAGTTGTGACAGTATCATAATTGTATGTAAAAGATGTAAAAGACTGGACACTTCATACTCATAGTGCGGGAGCCTGTAAGTTATGATTGTAAAATGCTGGTAACACCCAGAAACTGGAGACACAACACAGCAGAATGGGTTGTAGACATAAATTCTACTCCTTAAAAGCAGTCAAATTCTGGGATTCGCTACCGGCTGAGATAGTCCAGTCGACTTTTCAGGAGTTATTTAAGAGAGAGTATGTGATATTCTTAAAAACTATGGATAGTGTCTTACTGTGATTTCCTTTTCCTGTTTTATCAATAATATACCCAGGTCTCTGCCCGACGGTATAAACGATTGAATGCTACTACATACGGAAGCTCGGTAAGCTTAAGCTTTTTCTATTCCGTTTAAAGGCATTTGAACCATGTGATAATTCAATGGTCATTTGCTGCCTAGCGCGTGTTGCTATGGTTTTTGACTTGTAACTGTTCCGTCATTTGTTTATTTTACATTGGCATATATGTCAAAAATCTGAAATTATAAAAAGAGATCAGTGTGGTTGCTCGCGCTGTCCTGTTTTGTGTTTCAGTATGAGGACTCACTCACTTTGTCTATTGCTCATTATACTTTACATCAAATATTGATTTAATCTTTTCATTTTAACACAGAGAATGACTTTTGGTATTTTATACTGACAAGTTAGGTTTTCACAATAGTTCTGTCCAAACGAGTTCAGAAGTTATCAAATAATGACGTCACGTTCGTGTATCCAATTGAGAGAATAATCTCGCTATTTGGGGGAAAAATTCGTCCGGTTTGGCTAAATTTTGGGGAAACCGCGATGAAAATCCCTTAGTCATACTAATTCCGCCAGAAATACTGTAAGAAATAGGCGATTCTGTCAATCAGTTAGTTTCAAGTCGATTTGTATAAAAAATAGGGTTACGAGTTACTTATTGGATATGCCAGGGGCATAAATGTCAACGTTGAACTAATATAATACTGACGATTGCTGACGATCAAATTAAGAAGTATCTGTAACTTTCCATTGGTCATAATACTTGTATTTGTTCTTACATGTGATACTAATTTGTTTAAACCTTTTTTGATGTTATCTGTTCTTCAAATGGTTCTAGATGGAATAAAAACTTTCGCTTAAAGGGCTTCCGTATCTGGTAGCATTCGCAAATGATTCAATAAACCCACTTATTTTTGGGTTATTAGAAAGAATGATTTATTAAAATCAGTCTCTCGTCGTATATTTAAGCAGCTAAGTATATGTAACAATAAAGTGTCCACAAAATCTCACATTTAGAAATGTAGCTTGCTAGTGTTTACTTAATATCTTCATTATGACAAATATTCCGAGGTTTCTTCAAAATCTTTCTTACATTTGAGATGCGGAAATCAAATGGCTCAACTTTGCTCAACTAGATACTGGCAAGTTCAGGAGATTAAATATTACGAACATTAGAGTTATATGGAGCAGTACAGTATTCTTGGTCGTATTGGTGAAGGTGCTCATGGAGTCGTTTTAAAAGCTAAGCATATTGAGGTGATTTCATTTTGCATTTGACAGTTTTATCTAGAGTGGAGAACTTGTTGCTCTAAAAAAGGTTCCTTTGAGAAAACTTGCTGATGGAATTCCTAACACAGCACTTCGGTAATTCAATTAAAGTATATTTATTATTGTAGAGAAATAAAGGCTCTCCAGTTTATTGAGTCCAGCCCGTACGTTGTCCATCTACGAGAAGTTTTCCCTCATGGCACTGGTTTTGTTCTCGTCTTTGAGTACATGGTTACGGATCTTAGTGAGGTTATTCGGAATTCGGAACCTCCTCTTACTGAAGAACAGTCCAAATGTTATATGCTAATGATACTAAGAGGAGTTGAAGTCATGCATGCTAATGGAATTATGCACAGGGTGTGTGTCTGTTTTTATGAAATCCTCTAATCTTCACTTCCTTATTTAGGACCTTAAGCCTGCCAATCTATTGATTAGTTCGGAGGGGGTCCTGAAAATAGCTGACTTCGGTCTTGCAAGAGTTTTCGAGAATAATAATGAGCGACTATACAGTCATCAAGTGGCTACAAGGTAATTTTTGCTAATGCAAGTTATCTATTAATTCAGGTGGTATCGAGCACCTGAATTATTATACGGAGCTAAAAAATACACAAATAATGTTGATTTATGGTATGTCAATTATAATTTATTTAGTTTTAGGGCTATCGGTTGTATATTTGGCGAATTACTTAACAGTTCTCCAATGTTCCCGGTATTTAATAATTTATAGTACTAAGACTTGTTTAGGGAGAAAATGATATTGAACAACTTTGGTTTGTTGTACGTGTTCTTGGGACTCCGAACGAAGATATATGGCCCGTAAGGTTTTTGAAATTATTGTGTTAAACTCTTTGAAATGTTATCTATTCAGTACTGATTGTTGGTTATATCATGAAATATGATTATCATAAAATCGACCCATTTATCCGTTCTTAAAAAGTCACTAACTCAAATACTCTTATGATTTAGAACAGATTACATTCAAAGAAATTTTGCTTAAGTTGACGAAATGACTGTGTAATATAAAGATGCTTTCATTGAAGATCTGAGGGTATAAATTCTCTCCTGAAATCTTTAAAAAGTATAAGTTGCTGTGACTTTTTAAACTTCAGTAAAACATTAAGCTAGTGCACTGTAACTTTTATGGTCTTAGTTTCTGATAAAAGCCGTCTTAAATCATATTTGATTGTATTCATAGGATAATCACGTTTAGATGTGTATGCTCGCACAAGTTGAATCATCTCTTTCTAAGGTTGTGTTTCTAAAATAGAAGTTGGATATATCTGGATTTGAAGAAGAGGGATGTATATCGATTAACATGGAAGCCATTAAACAACAAACAAAACTGTCCTTTCAGTTGATGTGTCAAACATTCTAATGTTATAAATGTTGGTCAGAAACTCAATTCAAATACTCTGCATTTCTCTATGATAATAAAAAGCACAATTATATGAACGAAGAATATCCCTTTCAATAATTTCCCATCAGGTTTTACAATTATAAATCCAAATTAATACTCTGTAAAATTGGCCAGATTTAAGATAGAGTACATCATTTAAGATTGTAATATGTGGATCAAGAATTGTTGTTTGTCATATCAAATCAAATCATTAATGTTGGTGTTGACAATATGAAGTGTTAACCTGAATCCGTTTATAAGTGAAATGATTTAAGTTAACACTTCATATTGTCAACACCAACATTAATGATTTGATTTGATATGACAAACAACAATTCTTGATTCACATATTACAATCCTAATTGATGTACTCTGTCTTAAATCTGGCCAATTTTATGGAGTATTAATTTGGATTTATAATTGTGAAACCTGATTGGAAGTTATTGATAATAATAAAAAACTCAGTTACTGAATACTATACTCCAATGAATGGGAAACACAGGTTGATAGGAAGAGTTATGTCAAAAGCGGTTTTTTCCACTCAATTTCATATTATTTACATGGGTAGTAACTACCCATATGCGCTTCATTCAATAAACGATTACTCTTTATTTACTAAGTTTTTGTAGTAGGCATTTATTTCACCGTACGTGACAACAATGTTTGGTTAATTTGCTCTTAGTTTTCCAATACATCAAGTTTTTTTTCTTTTGTTTTGGTAGTAATTTTGTTCTTTTATTTTTCTAGGAAGTTAAAGAACTGCCTGATTATAACAAGATAAGTTTTAACCTGTGTGAAACCATCCCGTTTGAGGAAGTTCTTCCGGATGCATCAGTTGAGGCCGTTGCTCTTGTTAGTAAATTTTTAGTGTACCCACCCCATCAAAGAATTACGGTATCCGAAGTAAGTATTATTTTAATTCTGGTTTACCCGATTTGGTAAATCAGGTAAATCTGGTTTAAACATGCTGTGGTGCTGTCTCTGAATAGTTTGAGGGTTTTGCTTTGAACTATTGAGTTACACATTTGAAGGTGCTTCACAGACTGGAATTAACATAATTATGATGTGTCAGTAATCTTGAAAAATAAGCTTAACTCACAGTTTAGTGCATCAAAACCTATATTTTTTATATGCCATTATTTATTTCCCTTTTGGTATATCAGTTGATACGCCAGTACATCCATCATTTTACATCTTATCCCTATGTAGTTTACTACATCAGTCGTACTTCATACTAGTAGGATCAAATAATTTTAAATCTTTCAAAACTTTACGAGTGACAACTGATTCTGCATAATGTGTATAACTACTTTTTGTAAACCAACGTGCTTTACTTTTTTGGCATGTACTAGGGTAAATAACCGTACGTGTATCTTTAAGTCACACATTTTGACGGCGGGTGTGGGACACAATTCACCTTTTCAAAGCAAAACATGTGGAGGAGGGTTCGAACCCGCAAACGTTTATTTGAAACTCGAATGGGTTGAAGTTAGGCATCAGCACTGTCGGATGCTAGCTCACTGGTCTAGAGGTTGAGCGTTGGCTCATTAGAGTGAATGCTCTGGGTCCTTTTCCCGGTTGTGGAGTTAGGGGTGCGCACTGCTTAGGAGCATCATACTAGGACGGGAAAGCTACATAGTGCTTCCAATTTTTCATTGGCAGCCTAACTAAGATCGGTTCGGGATATAAAATCTATAAAAAATTCTAGAATCTACACAAAATCTTATACCGATAATAATCGTGTGCTCACTGGTGACTGACTTCTAGATGCGATTTCTGGAGTTCTAATGAGAAGCTATGACATGTAAAGTTGAAACATATCGGGTGTGAGGTAATTATTTACTCCACGCAACAGATGGTTGCGTAATATCATAAGTGGATTGAAGTTAGACATATAAATACATTTGTTTGAGAGCTGGAGTGAGAAAGTTAGAAGCAGTGTAAACATTGAATAAGGGAAACAGTTGTTTGGGTCATTTTTTAGCAGTGATCTTTACAAAATATCAATTCACGTGGTTTTCCTTACTCATATGTTTCATATTGTTGTCTGCGTGGGATTCAGAAACGCAAAATTAAGTTGTAACTTGCAGGTTCTAGGGAATTCTAAAATAATATCTTTTTGTTTTGCATAAAACGAGGTTTCAATTTCCATAATACTTTTAATGATATCAATGCTCTGTGGATTAGTCAATGAAATCTGCTCATAAGCGCAAAATCCTGTTTGTTTGTTTGTTCTGAAGAACTTTATTTTTCATGTTTCAGGCATTGAAAGATCCATATTTCACTACGGACCCACTGCCAGCTCAGCTTTCTGAACTTCCTGTGGTTACACCGCATCGTAATACCCTGCCACATCCTCAAGAAACTTATGAAGTTTGTCTTACAACTCCTTTGGAGTCGATTCTTTGTAATCATGAAGTACTGAAGGAAGGTGTGAAATTACTGGATGATGAATTAACGAACTCCTTTGACGGTCCAACAGGTGTTACTCGGATGTGATCAAACTAGATTATTAATAATCCAATGAACAGTTGTACCTCGTCTTTGTAGTACATGTGATTGCGTTATTGATGATTTCTCATATGAATCATCCAATAACTTCCGATTTTTTTCTAAAATTTCTTTAGACGTTTTTGTAAATATAATTTATTGTATATTTGTAGTATTGAAGGTCTTTTTATATATCGGGTTCTTAAAGTTTGAAGGATATAATGATGGAGGGTGCATTTCATTTTGTGTAGCCAGGCCTCATTTTACACTACTGATTGTTATAGCATTCATTAGTTATTTGTTGTCAGATAGTTGAGAGTAATCAGTAGAAATACTTAGACCTAGGTTTTTTATTGATCTTAACTCAACTACAAGATATTTTTGTAATCTTCAGGAAACAGTTTGACTCTCAGGAACGTAAAGTAGTGTCATCATATGTTGTAATAAGAGACTGTAAATGTCCTTTTTAAAGTACTTTATCGATTACTTCAAACAGTTACTATTGTCATGTCACGAATTTAGATGAACGTAGAATCGATCATTGGAGTTCTATCAATAATCAGGACTAGGCTACTTAAACTGTTTATGATTGTTCTTTATCATTAAAAAATGATATGGAAAGAAGGTTTAAATTATATTTCCTTTGTTATTTTATAAAAGTTAATGATAAGACATTATGATTATTTTGGTTAAACTGCCTATGAATTAAATGCACTAGATTGGATTGATGGCATTAATATTCTTCGTAGATTAAATACAATTCTAATAGTTGGAACAATCATAAACATATATTAGAAAAGCTAAAGTTATTCTAATTTTACTTCATAATGAAATTTTTTCTACTGTTTAGTTATTACGTCTTATTTTATTTGTGGCTAATGATTTAGAAGTATCTGTAAATTACTAAGAACAGGTAGTCTTAATGAGATTTACACAATGTTATTTGAGCAGTCTTAACTTGCTATTATATTTATCATTAAATATAGGTATTGCACTAAACCCTATATCAAGATATACAGGTGGACATGAGTAGGGTTTATTTAATATGAGCCCAGGCAAAATGTAGTAAGAAGTGTAGAATGATTTAGAGTGACTAATAAAATTTAATGATGTTATAGCAGAATAATAAAAATGCCAGTCAGGTTTCTAAGCATGACTGTAAGACCCGCTAAAAGTTGATCCATGTTCCTTGCATGAAAAGATCTATCTTCAAGTATTTTATTTATACTGTAGTGAACAAGAACACGAGTGGGGACAATCCAATATATTTAATACAAAATTACAGGACTTGTTAATAAAATCTAACAATCACAAAATAAATGCTTAATTTGCCAAATGTCCATCAATTGTCTCAAAATGACTCATACTTCACTGTTCTTGCATTTTCATACAAGTTACTGTTCGAACCTCTTGTCTCTGCTGCCAGACATTCTGTTCACGACTAACGTCATATACTTACTTACTTACGCCTGCTACTCCTCGTGAAGGAACATAGGCCGCTCACTAGCATTCGCCATCCAACCCTGTCCTGGGCAATCCTTTCCAGCTCTTTCCAGTTGTTACTCATCCTTTTCATATCTGCTTCCAGTTCCCGACGTAATGTGTTCTTTAGCCTTCCTCTTTTTCGCTTCCCTTCAGAATTCCAAGTTGGGACTTGTCTTGTGATGCAGTTTGGTGATTTCCTCAATGTATGTCCTATCCATTTCCATCGTCTTTTCCTAATTTCCTCTTCAGCTGGAGGCTGGTTTGTTCTCTCCCACAAAAGACTGTTGCTGATGGTATCCGGCTAATGGATGTCAAGTATCTTGCGTAGACAGCTATTTATAAATACTTGTACCTTCTCGATGATGGTTGCAGTAGTTCTCCAAGTTTCAGCTCCGTACAGTAGAACTACCTTGATGTTCGTTTTGAAGATTCTGACTTCGATATTGGTTGAAAGTTGTTTTGAGTTTGTGATAACGTGAAAAATAAATGCTGATTAAGGGGTAGGGAATTATTGATCGGACCAAAGACGCGCAAACACGTAGAACGGCCTAGGGTTCTGATTGGTCTCGCTTCCCTGTCTAACCCAGCCAGTTAAGTCCAGAACACAAGTTTCAGCCTCGGATTTCTGAATCATTATATTCCAAACATACTTTGTTTATATACCAGTCAAGCAGACCACAACGTACCATAAAATAGAAAATAACATTGTACAATAATGGCCAGTAGGAAAATGACACGTTAAACAAATATTGACCAATAAGATGATAGCATTCCATGTCCAAGGATAGCATTAGGCTTAACAGGATAATTTTTGGGATGTTTTCCTGAATATCCCAACAGAGTTCCATATGTTCTTCAATTGTAGGAAAGCGACCCTTGCTTTGCCAATCCTCGCATTTACATCTGCATCTGAGCCTCCTTGTTCATCGATGATGCTTCCCAGGTACGTGGAGGATTCTACATCCTCCAGAGTTTCGCCATCAGGAGTGATTGGATTGCTGTTCTCCGTTTTGAATTTGAGGACCTTGGTTTTCCCCTTGTGTATGTTGAGGCCTACTGATGCAGAGACTGCTGCTACACTGGCTGTCTTTATCTGCATTTGTTCATGTGTATGTGATGGGAGGGCTAGGTCATCTGCGAAGTCCAAATCGTCTAATTGATTCTGATTTGTCCATTGTATTCCGAACGTCATATACTACTTATGTTAATATAAGTAGCACACACCACAATACTAATTTCATCATAATTTGGCATTTGCAAGATAGATACAGGAGTCATTATTAACATAAGCATACTCTAAAACCTTATCGTAGAACTGTCTATGTAGACTATCTAAATGTTACAAAAAGTATGCCGTTATACATTATACAAACATAAACTAAATAAATATTACTGGTTAGTTTATAAGAATATTCATCTATATTTGAATGAGTAGTTTGATAGAAATTGGGCGCCGAGTGTAGAGAGGAAATTACTTGTGAGAGTCATATTTGAAATAATCTCAGCGACTAAAGGTTAAATAATCCTGACATTTCATATAATATTTTGCGAAATGGTTTGGAAGAAATATATGAAAATGTTAGCAATATATCAGATAGTATTAAGCTAATCAAAGTGATAGAGTCCACTTAACAAAAACTAGCGTTTCTCACTTTGCATACACATTGATGTGTTAAGAACATATCCACTTGAAACTCTTATTTTTACTTCTAATAAACAAATTAACACTTGGTATCAACCATTACTAGCTTGAACTTAAACATACACAAACAATTACGCATTCATTTATGTTCATGTTGTGAACTTTTTACATCTATTTGACTCATATTATCCAACTTATTGAAGTCAACATCGGAATGTGATTGAATACTCAGTATAGATTTGATTCGACTGCTAAACATTATATGTTATTTTGTAGTTTTGATTATTACCCTGATGAAGTTCAGACAAGTTTGCCCAATGAAACGTTGGAATTATTTAAATTTCAATCACTGAGATTATTTCAAATATAATTTTTACAAATAATATTATTGGTTAAATCCACTGTTTAAGTTGTGCAATATCAAGACACTTAAAAAAGGAGATTGTAAATTCTAAATATGATGATAAGTGGTAAAAGGCCTATTATTGAGATCGATTCTATGGAAAAAATATCAGAATACTGTCTATGATGGTCAGAAAACCAAAAAATTCAAATAGTATGGTTGAAGAATAGGCAATAAAATCAGGAGATAATAGGAATAAAATAATCTTATTGCTTAGGATTAAGAAGAAGCTATGTTATCTAAGGAATGAAACCACTGACTACAACCATCCTAATGACTTTATCCATTTAATTTATAGCTCAGATCAAAATTTTGACTTCATTACCTAATATCACACATTAGCGTGGGAGTCCCTCAACAATATTTTGACTTATCTGAAAAATTTTTACATGACAAATATTTTCATGAACAAATTATGCATTTTTTTGCAATACCATTTCTTCTATAGATTCTTCATTTTTATCAGAAGGGGTTTGTGGAGATTTCGGAAATTTCACAGATTGAAATCATGTTTCAATTGAAGCTAGACCACCCTGAAAAACCTGGAAGCACTGGACGGCCGTTTCGTCCTAGCATGGGACTCCTCAGCAGTGGTACTCAAATAGAAAAGTTATTTCATTATAATTCAGATTCGTTTAACATAAAAAAATAATTTAAACTATTAGTTCTTTAGAGAATATTAGTGTGGAAAGAGTTTTCATGAACAAAATCAGTCAACTGTAGAACAATCGAAAGTCAGATAACCTGGTTATTTCTTCATTTAAAGATCTGACATGAATTATATTGAAGTTGCTAATATTTTTTTCCAATTCAATCATTTAATTCTGTTTTCTGTCTAAGAAATATTCTTCAATTGATGAGATGTTTTATAGATTATTATTTTTGAAGGTCAGTTTATGACAGTTAATTAAACATTTGCTTCGTTTCCTAACTACTATTTTACTTTTATTTTAAGTAACTCATTTCATTGTGAGAGTTTTTCAACACTTGAGAGTTACTTTAAAGAGAAAGGAATAAGAAGAAAGACTAGAGAACTCAACTCATTTATCTTGTAGATGTAAGTATATATATATATACATATATTTAAGGTGAAAATTAGGATTCAAAAACTGCAATTAAATACCTATTTAGGATCAATTCAGCAAACTAATTACATTTTCTTTAGATTTCTCTTTTCATAAACAGACACACATTATCATATATGTAGATGAACAATTGATTGTAAGTATGTATCTTTATAGAATCATTTTCGTTTGTCTTTTTCTCTTTCTTTCTTTTATTCATTCTTTCCAAATTTACCTCTTTTATTTACTTTTTATTCAATCAAATAATCGAATTTTGTTGAAACACTTCTAATATAAATAGGGGAACTTTTCTTAGAATACAAAGAATAAGAATAATCGAATGTGAATGATTAAAAAAAGTAAACTATGATAATGATTTACTTTATTGGTGAATTATTTCTAAAATAAATCAGTTTATTTTTCACCTTAACATTATATAACATTAATACGGATAATAATGACAGTAAAAATAATAAGCAATCTAATTATGGTAGAATAATGAAAGGGGATGGAATAATATTTGATGTATTTATGTATTTGTATATGTTTAACCATTTTGTATGTGCCAAACTCTAATCT